CTCAGGTCATGATCTTGGGGTTTGAGATCAAGTTCCCTGTCAGGTCTACTTAAGATTCTCTCTCTCCCTGTCCCTCTGTCCCTCCCACCCTCCAAAAATAAAAGTCATTCTTTTTACTTATTTAACTTTTAAGGGAGCATATTTAGTGTGTGTAGTGATACACAATGAGGTTATTTTCCTTCATTTTTATAGAATAAAGAATTTTTATAGAATAAAAATGAGTATTTATTATAGCCCATATCAAAACTTTTATCCATATATAAAAGTCTATTGGCTTTATATGCAAATTAATAAATAAACATTGATTTTTAAGGTTTAAGCAAGTGGAAAGGCAGGTGCAGAAGTGGTCATGTTTATGGTACAAAATAGGGATGCAAAGTTGTGAAGGAACCAAATAATGAAGGGCCTTTTACAGTCACTTCGTTTTCTATTGCTGCTGTAACAAATTACCCTAAATGTAGTGGTTTAAAACAATACCTACTTATTATGTTATAGTTTCTGTGGGTCAGAAGTGTGGGTACAATGTGGCTTAACTGGGTTCTCTGCTTAGGGTCCCACAGGGCCAAAATCAAGGGGTTAGCAGGGCTGTGTTCATTATTGAAGGCTCTGGCGAAGAATCACCTTGTAGTCTCATTCAGGATGGTGGCAGAATTCTGTACTTTCTCCTGCTTTCCATGTGGCCACCTTTGTCTTCAAGCCAGCAATGATATAACAAGTTCTCTCATGCTTAGAAGCTCTCTGACTTCCTCTTCTGCTGCTGCCTGGGGAAGCTTCTCTACTTTTAACAGTTTGTATGATTAGATTAGTCACATTCAGCGACTCTCCCTATCTTAAGGTCAATAATGCAGTAGAATATAATACAATCTTGAGAAGAGCACCAGGGAATGAAGATTGTGGGGGGCCAAAATTCTGCCTTCCACAATCATGATAAAGAGTTCAGGCTTTATTCTGATGGGCTTTGTATGGTTTTCAGTAGAGGGGTGATGTGGTCATATTGGTGTTTTATAACAGTCACTGGCTGTAATATAGACAAGGGTCAGTTTGGAGCCACCCTAAAGTTATAGGAAATCTTTGGAAGGAGTATCATTTGGGATTTGGTTATAGATAATAGAAGTCATGCTAGCTATGTTAAGAAGAAAGGGGTTTGGGGTGCCTGAGTGGCTCAGTGGGTTAAAGCCTCTGCCTTCAGCTCAGGTCATGATCCCAGGGTCCTGGGATCAAGCCCCGCATTGGGCTCTCTGCTCAGCAGGGAGCCTGCTTCCCCCCACCACCCCCCCCCCGCCTGCCTCTCTGCCTGCTTGTGATCTCTAGCAAATAAATAAATAAAATCTTAAAAAAGAAGAAGAAGAAGAAGAAAGGGGTTTAATACAGGGAATGGGTGTTGAACAAAAATTTTTGGAAGGGCTGTGTCTCTAGGATTGCCTTAAAATGCTACTGCAGAACTGACCCACCAATGGCACTGCTGCCTATGGTACTCCTGAAGCTGCTGTCCCTGGTGCTGAATCACAGCAGCTTAACTGTGATCTGGGGGTTCAGCAAACTCCTGCCAAGGGTGTTAACTCTAGGAACAGTGTTTGAACTGCAGTTGGGTAATTAGGGAGCCTATACCCAAAGTGTGCCCACACCATCTCCTAGATCCATTCTATTTATCCCCAGGGCTGCTGAATGTAAGTGATAGAAGCCAAATCTCACCTGCAAACGAGTGTGCAAAATGCCATTTTTATCTTCCCAGTCTCAGCAGTACGGGAGGGAGGCATTCCAGAGGAGGCTGGAACAGGTCCTGGGGAAGCTCCTCCACAGAATGTTCTAGCACTCCAGGTTATTGAATTAGAGAGATGGGAAAGAGAGCTAGGAAGGAATCAGGATGACTGTCCAGCTACTGCCTAGGACGAGTAGATCATTCTTCATGCCATTTACTGACATAAAAAGACCAGAAAAGATTAGGAGTAACAACGAATTGTTTCTGGATGTGTTGATTTTGAGAAAACTATGGGACCTTAGTTTCCTAATTTATAGGTAATCTAATTTGTAGATGGACTAGGCCAGTTGTATCAAGTAGGCCAGTTTCTGCCTGTGGGTCATAATTTTGTGTACAGATATATTTATGGTTGAGATTAATTCAGTTTACCATAGTGCCAAATATAAATAAGTCTATAATTATATAATTATTATTGTAAGTTTTAGATTTATATTTAAATTGATTTAGGGCTTAGCACTGGTTCTTAAACTCATTGTTGAGCAGTATTTATCTTTTTCAGAAGGACGCATGGCTGCTCTATTTCCTAAGTTCTTCTTGTTTCAGAATAGTTGCCTTTTAAATTTCTTTCTAAACAAAACTTGGTGAGGTATAATATTCCTGGGTCATGCTTCCTAATTTATTTATTTGGTCAGCAATGGCATTGTTTTGCTTCTCAATTTGTTTCACTGGCTCTGCAATCTTTCTTTTCATCTCCTTCTGTTGGTCATTTCTCTTTGAGCTCTTGTTTTATTATATTCATGCACTTAATAAGTTCTAGACCCCTTGTCTTCAGTTATTTTTTCTTTCAGATTGAGTTCTGCCTCTGCATTTTACTCACTGTGTGTTTCTTTTATTCCTTTTGCTGTGGTCTGTGCTTAGTTGCCATTTTGTATCTCTTTGCTTATGCTTAAAAGTGGGCACCTCTCTCCAGACCATCTCTTTACTGAAACATAGTATAAGTAAACTCTCCTTGACCCCTTCACCATTGTTTCTTTTGTTCCTCTGAGGCAGAGTTTGAGAGCCGGGGTATTACAATTGGACTTTTCTGTAGTCTGAAGGGAAAATATCTCTGGAGTTGGGTTCAGCTTTTATTTGACCCCTTGGGTTCTGCTGTCTTTTCTAAGATTTTGTGAAATTATCATAGCCTAGTTTCACTTGTTTAAGAGCATATAGTAGGAGATGTGCATAGGGAAAGATACCCTTAGAGTTGGAATCATTTTACTTCTTCAGTTTGGAAAATTTGGAAAATTTGAGGTTTTGGTAGTTTTGCTTTTTGTTTGTTTGGCCTTGTTTTGTTTGCCTTTGCTAAGATCCTGACATCCTGGATGTTTCTAGTCCCCAAAGTATTTCCTCAGGCTTCCTGGGGCTCACTCCTTAGCACTTCAGCCCAATTTTCTCTAAATTGGGAAGTGTTAGCACACTCAAGAGTTAGCTCTTTATCTTCTTCCTCCATAATGAATTCTGGGTGTTGAATTAGGATCTTTGCTTAACAGAACCACCTAGTACACTGCCATTGGTTCCTTTTAAATAAAGCCTATCGCCATAAGCTTATTCCCTCTCTTTCTTTGTTAGTTGCTGGTGGTGATGTTTTTATCCTTTTAAGAAATACTGTTTTTGACACAAGTTTCGAGAGAAGATTCTGTAATCTGTTTCATCATAGCACCATCGTTTCCAAGAAGCTCCAAATAGATTTCAATCATTTGTTTTCTAAAGGGGTATGTGTATTTTAATAATGTAAATTCCAGAATAGGAATGTAGTGTTTATTTTTTATTTACAAATTACTTGTTCATCTATTATGTTATATAATTCTCTTGACTATTTTATAAAGTAGGGAGGGCAGACTTTTTAATCCCAGTTTTACTAATGAGAAAACTGAGATACAAAGAGATCGATTTGATGAGTCACACAGCTAATTATAAGATGGAGTCAATACTCTGAAGTCAGATCTTCTGACTCCAAAGCCAGTACTATTTTACCATATACTGTTATTCCCTTTAATGAAAATGGTTACCTCCATGCTTACCCACACATGTCCTACTCCGTCTTTAATATTCCTACCAACCTTTTAACACTGACTTAACTGAGTTAAAGCCAAAAATAGGGTGGGGGAATAATCTTACATGACCACTGTATTCTGATCCTGCATTAACCTCAGGATTTCTTGGTTATAATAAAGCTGTTATCGGGTCTTTTGATCATTTTTTCCTTCTCTGATTTGTAGAAAATTGCTCAACTTCCTCAGTAAAACCAGACTTTAGTAAAATCAGTAAAAAGACTGGCAGTGGAGACAGGATTTTCCACATGGGAAACTTGACCTTATGGGCCCAAGTTTCACCTCTATAACTCACTTTCCTCTTGATAGCTTCTGCTCTTTATTCCTGCCTCAGTCAAGGAACTTGTATTCCTCATTTGCCATTTACAAGTTTTTCACAAGAATTTATTCTTTTTTTTTTTAAGGTTTATTTATTTATTTGAGAGAGAGAGAGAGTGGTGGGGGGTCAGGCAGAGGGAGAAGGGGAGAAGGAATCTCAAGCAGCCTTCGCCACCCAGCATGGAGCCCAACAGGGAACTCAGTCTGATGGCCCTGAGATCATGATCCTGAGATCATGACCTGAACAGAAATCAAGAGTCAGACACTCAACCGACTGAGACACTGAGGTATCCCTCAAGAATGTATTCTTGACTCTTCCGCAAAGACCTTCTTTATAGCCAGTGAGACTACGCTGAACATTCAAACAAAAATCACTGAAAAACCTGGATTAACAGCTCACATACAACTGGATTTTTTTGTTGTGGTTTGTAAATTATTTTCTCTGGTGGTCAGAAACTGGCCTCTTTCCATCTTCCCATCTGTCACCAAGGAACGTGTGCTTAAATATATGCCCTTGATGATGACACCCAAGAAAGCAAGTTCTACAGAGTGATTAGACTTCTCTCTGTAATCCTTTTGTCTGCTTTTCTAAGTTTTCCTTTTCTCCCTAAATCTATTCTTCTGTAACAATAAACAGCAGGCATGGTGACCATCTTTAGGACAGATTCTTCTCCTATCCACAAGGATGTGGTGTTATTGTGGCCGCAAAAGGGCAACCGTATCCCATCACAGATACACAGCTAGTTCGTCAGGCAGATAGGTGGATGTAGATGATATTAGAATAGGATTGTAGCCGTGTTGCTCACTGGAGTTCTGAAGAAGTTCATAGTTCGTGTGCCAGTGGCTTAAGCTGACACTGTTTTGTTTTGTTTTGTTTTTTATCCTTCTAGGTATCATGAACTGATTACAAAATACGGGAAGTTGGAGCCTTTGGCAGAAGTGGACCTAAGACCACAGAGCAGTGCTAAAGTAGAAGTCCACTTTAACGATCAGGTGGAAGAAATGAGCATTCGTCTGGACCAAACAGTTGCAGAACTAAAGAAACAATTAAAAACTCTAGTGCAGTTACCCACAAGCAACATGCTTCTCTACTATTTTGATCATGAAGCACCCTTTGGCCCAGAGGAAATGAAGTACAGCTCTCGGGCACTGCATTCTTTTGGCATTAGGGATGGAGATAAAATTTATGTGGAATCCAAAACAAAATAACCTCGACCAGCCTTGTAAAAAACACATACATAAGGACTTCTTGCAGGGCATTTGTTTCCAATGTGGTTTTCTTTAGGAGGGAGAAGGTTGTTTTGTTTCGTTTTGTTTGGGTTTCGGGGGGGGTTTGTATATTTTTTTCCCCCTAGGATGGGGAGGGGGCTGTTTTTGGTATTTTCTACCACAGATTTCTTCAGCTCAGCCAGCAGAATTGGCCACATCTCCAGTCCCTGTGCCCTCCCTTGTGAAAGATGACCAAGAAATCGCCGACTTCTTACTGTGTTCACTGGGCTGCGTCTACCACTTGGTTATCATGACCATTTAGGTATATTTGTGAAGATAGCATGAGCCGTGTGTCCTCCCCCCAGAAGGATAACTTGTGGGATTGAAATCAGGTGCAGGGATCTTGACAGGAAGGGCCAGCACTTCTCTCCCCCAGTTCTTCCGTTGTCCTTCCCTCTCTCCCTCCTTTCCTGTTGTGGTTCAGTTTTTCATTTTGACGTGTCAGCACGTGTTCACCTAATAGTTGTAATCCTGTCCATAAGTACTTCTCATTTCTCAGTGTGGACAATTTTTTCATTTCTCCCTTCTGAAATAATTTTAGTGTTTTAGGCATTTTTCAACCTGATTCTGAACTCAGGTATTCTGTGAGAACCTGTAACTCTGTTAGGATCTTGAAGACAGAGAGTTAAAACTCCAGGAAGACTCACTGCTGTCCTGGTGGCTTGGGCAGAGCAGCCTGGGCCCTTTGTGTGTAACCACGTCCATTTCAGTGTCCCGCACAGATGACGTCCACCCTCACTTCCATAACACAAAGTGTGTCACATGCCACAGTCGTTTGATTTTTGCTTGTCGAATGTACTTCCTCATCTCTAGCTGTCTTTCTCATTACTTTAAACTGTTGGGAATAGAGGCCTGACTTTCTGAAGAGCCCAACTGAATAATGGATATACATGCCGGGAGAGCTGGGAATTAGCTAGCCAACTGTCCGTGGCATGTGTGAGGTAGTAGAGTGGGAGAAAAGTCAAGCCATCCAGGAGGAAGAATGTTGTGATTTCCCTGCCCGTGTCGTCATTTGAAGCCCTGGCTCTTACACTTTGCATTAAAAGTGGGAAATCTTAATCAAAGGGAGTTCTGATTCCCAGTTCTTCCCTGGGATTCTGTGATGTCATAATTGGACCCTTCTTTTTGTTTTGCATTTCAACTTAGTTGCCCCTCCCAAAGAACAACTCTGCCTAATCTATGAGTAAAGTCTAAGTGTCAAAACTTCAGAATTGCCTCCAAGTCATATTTTTCGCAGAAGCATATTTAAAGCACTTTTCTTTAAAAGCTAGTTCCTCACCTGCCCTGAAATCTTTGCATTTGTTCTTGTAGTCCTTCATTAAACAGGGTAACCCCTTTCTGTGATAGATGTCTTTCTTGGTCCACCATATTTACAGATGGGAGGCTTGGGGAAGGCTTGGCATCACTAAGGGCAGGTGATGTGCACATGAAGTATTTTTCTAAGAATGTAATCATTATCTGATTGCATTTGACCTTTTGACCTTTGTTATAGGATTCCACCACTCCTACAAAATCCTTTAATTTCTTATGAAGTTTTTAGGTAACTCTTGTAAATTCTTCACATCTGCAGAGTTGTGATTATTATTGCTACTTTTTATATTTTTCCTATTTATTCTCTTAATGCACTTCAGGTTCAGTATCTATAAAGCCTTTGACCCAGTCCTACTGAGTCAAGTCTACATCCACTGTAACATTAAAGGTGGAAACCAAAGGGTTTGTGAAAGATGAATGAAGCCTATTCTCCTTCTGCTGCAGACTTGATCTTTCAAAATCGCAAGAATGAGCGATGGAGATCCAGGCTGGGTAGAGACAAGAATTAATTATTTTGCAATCACATTTTCCTGACAGATTTTTGGAAGTGGGAAAAAAGTGCGGCAACGGTGTCATGAAGATAAAAACTGTGGGTGCTTTGTGTATGTGCGCATGAGTGCAGGCAAGTTTGAGAGAGAGACTGTGTAACTGAGCCCGTCACTTTTGTCAGCCTGGGAAACAGATGCACTCTTTTATTTTTTGAGGTTGTATGACCCCTGACTGTCCCACAGCAGAAGGCAGAGCAAACACTTGGGTTGTGCTTTAATCATAAGTGGAATGGTCACAATTAATAAGATATTTTATATATGACAAAAGTTTTATGAAATGCTTTTTTACTATTAGAGACCTGTTCCTTCTGTTATGACAGAACACAGTGTCCATCAACTGCAGGCCTAATTCCTCTATTATACAGTTGCATGTCAGGGGAACTTCTCATCTAATTCAGTGGGTATTTTTAGGGCATCGTAATTGATGGTTTTAATAATTGCTGAACAATTTTTGATTGAGACAAAGTCTAATGCAATGACCGGTCTTTCAGAGCTGCAGAACAGAAGTAAAAGAGAAAAGCTATTTGAGCATGTGTACTTGTAGATTTATTTCGGCAGCTGAGTAAAGATGCTGCTTTTGAAATAAAATCGGTGCTGTGTAGACACCTTGTAACCCAAATTATTTTTGTAACAGGCCAAAAAAGAGGAGACAAGAGACCGTGGACGTTTGAGTCTCAAAGCTATGCATCATCGATGGCAGCAGCTTCTCTGTATTTTAATATTGACTTCCTCCACATGCAGCAAGAGCCCGTTCCTGGCATTAAGGCAAGACGCTGTCCGAGCCAGTATTACAGATAGGTCTCTGCAGGCACAGTGTATAGAACATATCTTTTTTAAAATAGAAATTCTTTTCAGTGGAGAAAAAGGAAAGGAGTCACAGAAGAAAGCCAGATCAAAACCAAGGGATCCTCTGTGCCCACATGTAGCTGCTGAAGCCACAATGAAATGGGCTTTCGAAATGGAATTGTTGAAATAGCTCAGATTGCTTTAAAGGAGGGGAAAAAAAAGTTTAGAGTCCTGTGTCTTTTTTTTTTAAATTATTATTATTAAAAGTTTCTTTTGTTTCTGCAACCTATTGCCACCATGTCCATAAACACATAAGAAAGCAGTGGATATCCCCCAACACCTTGTTTCTTTTAAGACCCGTGGGTGAAAAGAAGCCCAAAACATGAGCTATGTGTAACAGAGCCACATGTTGCGATGCTTTGTGCTAAGATTTCGTTCACTTAAAGAAATGCAAGTTCAGTCCTCAACAGGTGTTTCGGCTGCGTTGCTAAGTCAGCGGTGTCCCAAGCACAGAACTCTGGGCGCACAAGGAGCTGACCCCATTTGAGGCACGCCGCCGATGGCTCTTCCCAGTGCACGTGTGAGCGCAACCTGCTCCGTGGCAAGTGCTAGGCCCTACGGCATATAAAACAGGAATACAAAATAATAGATTGTTCTAAGCGATGTCATTTCTGTTTATGAATTTGATTTTTCCCTTCATTTCATGTTAGATTGAAAACGCAAACAAACTGCTTTCCAGTACACCCAGAAGCTATCTGTGTTACCAGATGTGTTGTGAACACTCTATTTTTCATAGGTGCTTCCTTACTATATAATATGTCCATTGTAGTGATGGAGAGGGACTGGGCTCTCTCAGGCTCTTTACTTGCCAGTTGTCTCCTGCAGCTAATGGAAATATATATTTTATTTTAGAATATAATTTAAACATGAAGGTCTATTCTTTGCACTTTTTATTAATATATATATATAGATAATCTTTAAAAAAATTAAAAATCCAAGTCCACTTTCTCTTTGTGTTCTGATTTTTTTCTGGAGTTCTGGGGTCAAGATACATGCTTATTTTTATATAGTCAAAGGTCGACATCACTGCTGTGGTTGAGTACTGTGGGGAACTGGCCAAAGTGGGGAAGAATTGGACCATTTTGAGAAATTTCATTGGAATTTTGCCATTTAGAAATGAAAGCTATAAAACAAAGATTGTAAGAAGCGTGTCATTGCTTTTGTGTTAGCAAATTCTTATACTTCTAACATGTACTTGATACTCCCTTATTGTCCTTTTAAGGATAAAGTCCTCCCTTTAAGATAACTGGCATCCTCTTTTTTGAGTAAGGATGAAAACCTCAATTGGATGCACTTAAATTTCTTTCAAGCGACACTTTTTTGTCTTCAGAAAATAATTTTCTGTGAGAATTCGAGTTTTGGACACTTGAACTCTATCCACTTATCGATAATTTCTTGGTAAGCTGTAATGAGTTAACCTTATATCAAGAATGATGGTCCAAGAACTGTACTTTATTTCTGTATATAGAAGACAGAGTCCATTAACTTCTCTCTCAGTGTTCCAGAAGGGTGTGAGTATCACAATCTGTTTAAATATTTCTGCCTCTTACTTAAATTTCAAAGAATATACTTTCAACTTCTATACTAAATGCTATTTAGTTAATATTTATTGTGAGCTTCTCCGAGTATACTTGCAAGGTAGACATATGTCAAGACATCCAGTACCCACTGGGCTGAAAGATACTGGGACTCCCACTAGTTACTAGGATGCATGTAAGTCAAGAAAGTTAAACTTTGAGAAATGAAGTCACTTTCTCTTTCCAACTCTCCTCTGGAAAGGAAGTTAGTTATCTCTGGTCTCCAACTTAGAAGTTCAGAGCTCAAATTCAGCCAGTTAACTTTTAAAACCCATAGGTCATTTCTTATACTTTTAGCTCTTTTTTAAGATTTTATTTATTCCTCAGAGAGAGGCAGTGGCAGAGGGAGAAGCAGGGTCCTCATCGAGCAGGGAGACAGGACTCGAGGCTCCATCCCAGGACCCTAGGAACACTATCTGAGCTGAAGGCAGACACTTAACCGACTGATACCCAGGCACCCCCATCTACTTTTAACTTTTTAATATCACCAGGATTTAGGAACTGAGTTAATCCCTGAAAGGAATAACATACCATACTGTAACTCCTTAAAATATGGTGAATCTTTTTTATTCCTCTCCTTCAAAAATTTGAGACTAACACTGGAAATCTTTAGCTTTTTTTGTTTAACAAACATTTATTAAAATGTTCAAATATATATATTTGTCATATATATGAATATAATAAATAGGAGAGGTTCTCATGCTAGCCTCCCACCTTACTCTGAACTAAAGAGAACAACGCAACTTTTTTACAGTTTAGCATTATTCTGCTGAGTCAGTGGCATTTTTACAACCATATTTCAAAACACTGAAGCAGTGGCCTGAATAATAATTGATCCCAATAGCGCAAACTAACGAAAGGAAATCAGTTCTTAAAATAAGAATACTAATAACCGTTCAATGTTTTGTCTTAGACTTTTCTCCGATGTGGCTTAGGCACCTGAATAATTTGCTTGCACTCTATTTGAAGGCACAGCTATTAAGAGGGGACTAACAAACTCATAACCCAGGAGGAAGGAGAGCCGTAAGTGGACAGAGTTGCTTGTATGAATCCTTGCCAACCCTATGTCCGAGCTTACCACGCTTCTTTCTCACGTTTCTTCTAAACTCGAATAATGAACATTTATTATCAACTAGGACCCATACTAGATGCTTCACCTATATTTGATCTTCATGACATCCCTATGAGGTTAGCACTGTTGTTATCCCCATGTTCTTACTCGTGAAGAGAGTGGCACACAGATAGGTTAAGTAACTGGCCAAAAGCCACCCAGTTGGTTAACAGAGCCAGGATCCAAACCCAAGGAATCTGGCTGTGGGATCCGTGCATTTAACAGATACTATGTAATGCTTGCTGCTAAAGTTCTCCATTACCCTCCACACTCATGCACACACACACACATGCACACACACACACCTTTATTGTCAGTCTTTACGTTTCATTAAGAAGAGATGTTCCACAATACCCATCTGCTAAGTTGATTTGCTCTGTAACAACAGCACTGATGTGGCCAATGGCTCTGAATCCCAATTGGAATTTGTCCCCATGCCCTGTCAAGAATTGTGAGATGACAGTTGGTGTGTACCCTATTGTCCTCCCTGTCCCTCTGACAGGTCATTGGACATTTGTGATGGGCGCCATTGACAACAATAAGTGAAACAGTAATATGAGGCAAGAAAAGTAAGAATTTGGTTTTTAACCTGAGGACATTCTAGAACCTTAAAACTTCGTTGCAGTAAACAAAGGTACGAGAGGTCACTCGTTTTGGACTCCGACTTCCATCAAAGAGGCAACAGTGTTTAAGTGGACTGAAAACAGGTGTTATCAAGGAAAAAAAATGTTTATAGTTGAACGCAACCTGTTGCAAAGGTTTTGTTCCAGGAAAGGATGAGGCTGTCGCTGCTATTGTTTCTCCTTAGAATGTAAGGGAGCGCCTTGTGAAGAATATAAATATTGCTTACAAAATAGAGGGCACAGGCTATCTGTTATGTTCTGCAATTAATAGCCAAAAATTACAATGCGATTTCAGTTTGTCAATTCCTACATAGACTTCATCCTTGGATGCTCTGTCGTCGCTGTAAGTAATACAATTAAGGTGTTAAATAAATGAGAATGAGAGGAGGCAGACATAAAAAAATACAGAGAGAAGAGAAAAAATGTTTTCTGAAATATCTGATACATTGGAGGGCAGATGTAAGCTCTACTCTACTATCGAGGAGTAGAAACAGGCCATTATGAATTGCTTTGGCTGTGTTAAAATTTGGTTTGATTTTCAATTTGTTTACAAAAAAAGAAGTCTCTTCAAAAAACACTTGAATCTATTTTCTAAATAGAAAATACTCACATGGTTCAAAAATCAGACAACATAAAGATGGCATACATTAGAAAATCCCACTCTAACTCCCTGTCCTTTACTTTTATTCGTTTCTTTTTCTTATGTGTCTTTCCAGAGTTTACACAAATAATAGCAAATAATATATCTTGTTCCCCTTTTATACAGCAAAGTTAGCATATTATACACTAATACGCACCTTTTTTCACTTGAAACGTATCTTGGAGATCTCTGTAGCAGTACATTGGGAATCACGCTGTCCTTTGTTTGCAGTATAATATATAATATTCCATTTATAGACATAATTTATAATTTGTTTGGCTCAACCCTCATTGATAGACATTTGAGTTTTCCCTCTTCCTTTCTCTTTCTCTGTCTCCCTCCCTCTAACTCTCCCTCTCTTTTATTTACTATGTTCAGTTTGCTGCAGTAAACAGCATATGTTCTCTTACATACTTGAAATGAATCTATAGAATACATTTTTAGAAGTGGGATTGCTGGATGAAAAGGCCAAAGTGTTTGTAATTTTGGTAGATATTGCCAAATTATTCTCCATTAGAGATACCTAAAAAGAACTTTTTCCCCCTGGCTTTACTATATGTCACATCCCTGCGCAAAGACTTTACTGATCTTGTTCTTGATATATGATTCCTGGTTTGTGTAAGCAAGATAGGGTTCTCCCCAGTTAGGCATGCAAAGCGAGGCACCAGAATTCAACGCATTACACATTTGCATGAGCCATGCACATCGTCTGTCTTATGAGCCATCTTTCCTCTGGAATCTAATTTTTAATCATTGGTGAGATTTCACCTCTGCAGGAAAAGGTATATGTATTATTTATCCTTAACAATGTATGAGCATTTGTTTCAGCTGAGTGCTCTTGAAAAGTGATGGATTAATAGCCCTGATACCCTCTGCTTATTGTCCACAGGAAGCTTTGATCAGAGCTGCTTCTCACAGATCAGTGCAATTCTTTCAGAGGAACTATTCGGTACTACATGGTGAATGGGGAATATAGTGTGTCTGCCCGCCCCCCTTCCAGCTCTGTCGCTAATGTGCTGGCAAGGATGTTA